AAAATTAAATGAAATGGAGAGAAGCAATTCACTAGATGCAGTGTTCAACACTCTGATTATAAGGATGCTCAGTGAACTTAGTGAGAGCTTCAGTAACATTAGAAAGAACCAGTCAGAAATGAAGGATGTACTAAATGAAATAAAGAATAATTTACAGGGTATCAACAGTATAGTAGGTGAAGCCGAGACTCAAATGATCAATTTGGAATATAAGGAAGGAAAAACAATCAGAACAGCAAAAAGAAAAACGAATCTCCCCCCACCCCAAAATGAGAATAACATAAGGAGCCTCTGGGGCAACTTTAAGCATACCAACATTTGTATTGTGGGGTTGCCAGAAGGACAAGAAAGAAAGCAGAAATTGAAAACCTATTTGAAAAAGTAATTACTGAAAACTTCCCTAACTTGGTGAAAGAAGCAGACATACAAGTCCAGAAAGCACAGAGTATCTCAAACAAAATGAACCCAAAGAAGCCCACACCCAGACACATCATAATCAAAATGCAAAGGGTTAAACACAGAGAATCTTAAAAACAGCAAGAGAAAAGCAGTTAGTTACCTACAAGGGAGCTCCCATAAGACTTTAAACTGATTTTTCAACAGAAGCTTTACAGGCCAGAAGGGAGTGGCAAGAAAGATTCAGTGATGAAAACTAAAGACCTGCCCTGGCTGGTTTGGCTCAGTGGTTAGAGCGTTGGCCTGTGGACCAGAGAGTCTTGGGTTTGGTTCCTTCTAAGGGCATGTACCTTGGTTGCAGTTTGTCCCTGGCCCTGGTTGGGGTTGTGTGGGTAGCAATCACTCGATGTGTCTCTCTCACATCGATGTTTCTCTCTCTCTTTTCCCCTCTCTCCTTCTCGTTCTATTTGAAAATAAATGCAAAACCGTCCTCGGGCGAGGATAAAAAAGAAAAGAAAAGAAAACCAAGGACCTACAACCCAGATTACTCCCTCTTTCAAAGCTATCATTTGGAATTGATGGCAATATAAAGAGCTTCTCAGACAAGCAAAAGCTAAAGGAGTTCATCACCACCAAACCAGTATTATATGAAATGTTGAAGGGTCTTCTTGAAGAAGATAAAAAGTAAGAACAATAAACTGTCAGTAAATACCTATTTATTGATAATTGAATCTACAAACAAAATGAACCATCAGAACAGAAACAGACTCATTAATACAGAAAAGTTTTTGTTGATTGCCAGATGTGGGAGAATTGAAGGGATTAAGAAGTATAAGTTGGTTGTTACAGAATAGTCATGGAGCAAGTGTAAAGTACAATTTAGGAAAAATAGTTAATATTCTAATAACTAGACGTGATGCAGGATGGGTGCAGGATTTATTGGGGTGATTACTTATTAAGTTATGTAATATGTGGTCACTGGGATGTACACGAAACTGATATAATGATGTATGTCTATTGTAATTGAAAATAAAAAATGATTTTAAAAAATGATATGGAAGCATCTCAAGTGCCCATCAATAGATGAGTGGATATAAAAGCTGTGGTACATATATACTATGGAATTTTATTCTGCCATGAAAAAGAAGGAAATCTTACCATTAGTGACAGCATGGACGGGACCTAGGGAGTATTCTGCTAAGTGAAATAAGTAATTCATGGAAAAACAAATACCATATGATTTCACTTATGTGTGGTATCTAACGAATAGAATAAAGGAATAAACAAAATTGGAACAGATTCATAGGCACAGAACAGCCTGATGGTAGCCAGAGGTGTTGTAGGGTCAGGGGCTGGGTTAAAATGGTTAAGGGATTAAGAAGTACAAATTGGGCCCTGGCCAGTTTGGCTCAGCAGACCTGTGGACCAGAGAGTCGTAGGTTTAGTTCTGGTCAAGGGCACGTACCTCAGTTGCAGTTCGATCCCCAGCTCTGGTGAAGGTTGTGTGAGAGGCAACCAGTCTGTGTGTCTATCTCACATCTCTCTCTCTCTCTCTCTCTCTCTCTCTCTCTCTCTCTCTCTCTCACCCTCCCTCCCTCCCTCCCTCCCTCCCCTCCTCCCTCCCTCCCCTCCTCCCTCATTCCCTCCCTTCCACTCTATCAAAAAATCAATGGAAAAAATATCCGTGAGGATTAAAAAAAAAAAAGTACAAATTGGTAGTTACAAAATAGTCATGGGGCTTTAAAGTACAGCATTGGAAATATAATTAATAATATTGTAATAACTATGAATAATACCAGGGGGTTGTTTGAAATATCAGGGGGAACACTTTGTAAAGTATGTGGTTGTCTAACCATTATGCCATACACCTGAAACTAATACAAAATCATATTGAATGTAAACTGTAAGTGAAAAATGATATGAAAAAGCCACCAATCCCAAAGTCACTTAGATTTTTCTCCTCTGTTTATCTTCTAGTTTTATAGTTTTGCATTTTACTTTTAGGTTTATGATTTCTTTTGAGTTAATTTTCTTGAAGGGTGTAAGGTTTATGTCTCAGTTTATACTTTTACATGTGGATGACCAGGCTTTCCAGAACCATTTGAAGAAAAGGCTTTTTTTTTTTTAACTTAAAATGCATTGGGGTGACATTGGTTAATATGTATATTTCTATGATAATGATCTCTATATTTCATTGTGTGCCCACCACCCAAAGGCATATCATATTTGGCTACCATATATTTCACCCCCTTTACCATTTACTACTCCTTTAACCCCCTCTTCCCTCTTATAATCACCATAATGTTGTATGTGTCTGTGAGTTTTTGTTTGTTTTTACTTGATTGTTCATTTGTTGCTTTCAGTTTTATATGGTTCTTAACTTTTTCTGTCTTATTTTACTTCAGGTGATATTCTCAATATCTTTCCATGGTGTTACAATTGGCAATATTTTGCCTTTTCTTATGACTGAGTAGTTTTCCATTGTATATGGGTGCCACATCTTTTTTATCCAATAATCTATTGAAAGGCAATTCATTTGTTTCCATGTCTTGGCCACTGTGAATACTACAGTGAACATAGAGGTGCATATATCTTTGGGACCAGATATTTTCGATTTTTTGGGTAGATACCCAGAAGATGGGTTGCAGGGTTTTATGATAATTCTATTCTTAATTTGTTGAGGAACCTCCATACTGTGTTCCATAGTGGCTGTACCAGTTTACATTCCCACCAACAGTGATAAAGGTTGTTGTTTTTTCCTCCACAACCTCTCCAACACTTGTTATTACTTGTTGATAATAGCCATTCTATCCCATGTGAGATGGGTATCTCATTGTAGTTTTGATGTGCATTTCCCTAATAGCTAATGAAATTGAGCATCTTTTTATGTATCTTTTGGCCATTTGTATGTCTTCTTAGGAGAAGTGTCTGTTGAGGTCCTTTGCCCATTTTAATTTGGATTGTTTGTTTGTTTGGTGTTGAGTTATATGAGTACTTTATATATTTTGGATATTAACTTCTTGCCGAAGCTATTGTTTGCAAATATCTTCTCCCATTCTTTTGATTGTCTTTTTGTTTTGTTGACTTCTTTTGCTGTGCAGAGTTATTTAGTTTGATATAGTTCCATTCGTTTATTTTTGCTTCTACTTCTCTTGCGTTAGGGGTCAAATTCGTAAAATTTTCTCTTAAGACCAAGGTCCATAAGTTTAGTATCTATGTTTTCTTCTATGTAATTTATTGTTTCAGATCTTATATTAAGGTCTTTGACCCATTTTGAGTTTATTTTCTTTTTTATGGGGACACACTGTAGTCTTTCATTTTTTTGCATGTTGCTCTACAATTTGCCAGCATCATTTTTTGAAGAGACTTTCTTTTCTCCATTGTATGTTTTAGGTTTTTTGTCAAAAATTATTTGCCTTTATACAGGTGGGTTTATTTCTGGGCTCTCAATTCTGTTCTATTAGTGTGTGTGTGTGTGTATGTGTGTGTGTGCTTTTACAAAGCCAGAGGTATCACACTCCCTCACTGTATAAAGCGACGATAATCAAGACTGTTCTTTTTTTTTTTTTTTTTTCTCTTTATTGATTTTTTAGAGGGAGAGGAAGAGGGAGGGAGAGAGACAGAAACATCGATGGGAGAGAACATTGACTGGCCGCCTCCTGCATGCCCTCCAGTGGGGATTGGGGCCCACAACCTAGGCATGTGCCCTGATCAGTAATCGAACCAGCTGCCTCTTGGTGCATGGGTCGATGCTCAACCACGGAGCCACACTGGCCAGGCAAGACTGTCTTTTTTTTGCATTGAATTGCCTTTGCTTATTAGTCAAAGGTCAGTTGACTGGGTTTTTTATTATTATTATTATTGATTTTTTTTTTTAGAGAGAGGAAGGGAGAGGGAGAGAGAGATAGAAACATCGATGAGTGAGAACATCGACTGGCCGCCTCCTGTATGACCCCTGCTGGGGATTTGGCCCACAACCTGGGTATGTGCCCTGACCAGGAATCGAACAGGCGTCCTCTTGGTACATGGGTTGACGCTCAGCCACTGAGCCACACCGGCCGGGTCAGTTGACTGTGTTTTTGTGAGTAATTCTGGGCTCTTTGTTCTGTTCCACTGATCTATTTGTGTATTCTTTTGCCAGTACCACACTGTCTTCATTACTGTTCCTTGATTTTTTTAAAATAAATAAGAATATGAACAGATTGTCCCACTCCCCAAAGCATTTCACTGCCCTGCCATTGCATTTACTTGATGAAGACTCAGAACCTTCAGACAGTCTGTCCCTGTGAGGCCCTATGTGATGTGTGAAGCCCCCTCGCTTTATGCTAGCTCTGCCTTGTCATTAGAATGTTTCGTTTTGTTTCAATCATTCCGCGTTCTTCCTAGCCTTTGTATTTACTGTTTCTCTCTCTGGAATTCTAACTCCCTCTTCTCCTTGTTAACTGTTTACAGGTCTCAGTTTAAAATTTATATTCTTAATGAGGGCTTCCCTGATCTTCAGATTAGATTAGGGCTTTCTATTTTATGTTCTAATAATACCCTTCCTCTCTTTATAATAATATATTATCTAATTATATGACTTACTATTTTTTTTCCTAAGACGAAAGCCCTGTGAAGGCCAGATACCTCATCTATTTCTTCATTACCACATACACTTTGTTCATGGTAAATATCTGTTAACTAAATTAATGAGTAAAGGGAAAGAAACTAAGTACTCTGGACATTATTAGTTAGATTAATGGAAAATTATCCTTTTTTGGGTAAATTTTACTAGATGTGAGGTTACCACATATAGTATTTAGGGAGTGCAGTGGGAAGTTTTATTGTCTTTTGTAATATTTTTATGAACAAGATGGGGAAGTGTCAGATTAATATTTACAAAGTTTGGTTGTAATCGATGTCAGCATGGGAAAAATGTCTCTGGTGTTCTGAAGGGCTTCTTAGTTGGGACTATCTTATTTAACATTTAAATTAATTTGTGAAGTCTCAGAAGACATACACAAATTGGTAAATGTTATAAGTTTAGGAGTGATAGGCAATGAATTAGATGGTGGACTTTAGATTTTAAGCAATTTTCTTAAGCTACAATGATTGGTCAAAAAGATCTTTACAAACACAGGCTTATAGAGAAAGATGTTTAACTATTATGTAATATGTATGACTTGGCCACTGTGGTTGACTGTAAACCCAAAGCGTTAGCAATTTAATGATTTTACCTGAAATCTGAATAGCGAACTGGGTGTTCTTTTATAGGCGTATGGATGTGGAACAAGGAAGATGCTCATTTGGTGTGTTCTCTGATGATTATACTACACATGGAATAGGATTTCATTCTGGATGCCACAATTTAGATAAACATTGGCAGTTTAGGAGATTTTCAGATGTTTAGCTTTATGGTATAGTAGAATTGTGGATATGAAATTTCGTAAGTAACAAGTCCAGGTTGAATGAAGTCCTGGCTTTGTTACTTATTAACTGTCTTACATTAAAAAAAATTATTGACTCTCTTTGAAGCTCAGTTCTCTTATCTTTAAAATAGGGGTAATGTCGCCCTGGCTGGTTTGGTTTAGCAGTTAGAGGGTCAGCCTGCGGTCCAGAGAGACCTGGGTTTGGTTCCCGCTAAGAGCGCATATCTTGGTTGCAGTTTGTCTCCAGCCCTGGTTGGGTTGTGCGGGTGTCAGCCACTCGATGTGTACCTTTCACGTCGATGTTTCTCTCTCTCTCTCCCTCCCACTCTATCTGAACAAAAAGTGAAAAAATGTCTTTGGGTGAGGATAAAAAAAAAAAATAGGGGTAATGTCTACCTCACAGGATTGTGATGAATAAAGGAAATAATGGCCCTAAAAAAACTGTTATACAAGTGTAACATCTAATGGGGAAGAGGACTTGAAGAGTTGAAGAAACTTCGTTTTTATTTTTAGGCTGGAGAAGAGGGCATTTTGGCAATGAGGCATGACAATCAAGGCAAGAGCAGCTACTGTTTGTTGAATGTCAGCTAAACTGCCAGGCATCATGCTTGACAACCTTGATATAGATCATCTTCATTTAATCAGATTTGGCATTAAAGACTTTTGTGCTATTGTAATTTATACATGCTTAATAAAGTTTTTAAAGCACAATCTTTGTGCAAAGCAAAGTTCTAGGCATTGTAGCAAATACCAGGAAGAATCATACATGATTCCTGTCTTAAAGAAGTTTACATTCTAGCAAAGGAGACAAATCTGGATTCAAATATTTTTAGGAAGTAAAAGGCAATATGAAAAGGAAGGGCCAGATGAAGAGGATTAACATGGTTAGAGTAAGACTGACTGCCTGTGGGTTCAGTGGGCTTATAACCAACCTTGGGTGCTTTACATGAAACATTGCTGCTAGTGCATATGCTGCTGTTTTATAGTGAGGCTACCCTCAGTGACTGGGCATGATTGGATATGCAGGCCAGAGTACAGGCAATTCTATTTTTCTGTCTCTCTGCCTCAGACCTGTAGGGCTTTACAGCCAACTATCACTAGCTGAGAGGTAATTAGGTCTGATGTTGTAGCAGCCTTAAATTTTGGAATATGTGGTTTTTATCTCATGTCTTCTTTCCCCCACCCTTTAGCAATCAGTAAAGCTTAAAATGTTATCTAAACATTTCCACGGCTTTTGGCAAATGAGCTTCTAAAATTAGTATAAGTTTTTATCTAGGCAAGCTGGTGTGTTCATTTACTGTTATGTTTCAGTTATTTTTCTGGTGGTTATTCATTATCCCCAACTCAAGACTGTTTGAAGAACTAGATATGTGCTTTTTTAGAAAAAGGTTGAAAGTTCTCTCAGTCCATGAAAGTGGTAGGTCACCTGGGATACATGTCAGTCTAATAATGCACAGCTTTGTTATGCTGTGTTTCCAATAGGCTAGGTTAAATGTAGGACTACTTTATGGCTCAGGTTTAAATCAGGAAAGGTGAATAGATTTGGGACATTTAAACCAGGTCAGACATAGTTTATTCTTGACCTAGGAGACCCTGCAGAATGTTTCAGAGCTGTTTGGGGGCTAAATCACCCTGTAATGGTCTGTTGGAATGAGAAAGATTGAAGTGACAGGTGTTTTTGCCTATGTCCATAAATTCCATCTACAGCTTTAAACCATACACATTTTAGTAGAAGGAATTTATATTTTGGCTCATTGATTTACTAGCTATTGTATCTTTGATGTTTATAAAATAATGTGAAGATATAAATATGAATCATACAGGGTTTTACCTTTAAGGAGCTTAGTCTTATTGGGGAATTAAGATATGTACATAATTCTATAATCTAAGTTAAAAAGGGAAATGTACCACATAAAGGTACAAGTCAATGTTATGTGATTCTGAAGAAAAAACTATTGTTTTCATCTAATGAAGAAGGGTGAGTAGAGGCTGTGATGTGATGGTGGAATTAGGGTCAGCAAGTCATTTCGGAAGAGATTCCTTGAGGAGGGAATGGAGAAATGAGTAGAATTTGGAAATCTATAAAAACCATGTAGAAAGTGGATACAATACTGAATAATGGCATAAAGACAAAAGGTAGAGCATATAAAGGAAAGAATAAGAAATCAGTATAGTTGGACAATAGCAAACTTAAGTGATAAGAAAATTAAGTGAAAAGATAAGTTATAGCAAGATGAAAAAAAAGATAGAATGTTAGAGTAGATTTGTCATTTAAGACCTACTCACCCATCCTGGAAATGTTTATAGTTTCTTTTTTTTTTTTTTTTTTAATCCTCACCTGAGGACATTTTTCCATTTTTTGCTCAGAGTGGGAGGGAGGGAGAGAGAGAGAGAGAGAGAAACATTGACGTGAAAGGGACACATTGAATGGTTGCCACCCTCATGACCCAGCCAGGGCCGGGGACAAACTGCAACCGAGGTACATGCCCTTAGTGGGAACCAAATCCGGGTCTCTCTGGACTGCGGGCCGACGCTCTAACTGCTGAACCAAACCGGCCAGTGCTGGAAATGTTTAGAAGACACACTTTTACCATGACTGTGAGAAATAAAATTATGTCCGGAGCCCTAGCATACTCAAAGAGCTCTGTGATTGTTCTCCTTTGTAGATTAGAACTTACAGAGGGAAGACTATAGTCACTGAATTGGAAAACCTGAGTTCAGTAGAAGTAATTGGACCCCTTAGTGGCAGAGGCCATGTGGCAGTACTCAATCACCAAAGACAAAGTGTGCATGGGTACTGTAATGAACTGAAGAGTCAAAGTAGCAATGAGACCTATGATGTTGGCTACTTGGTCATTCCTAGAAGTGGAATAGATAGGATGCCCATTGAATTATTTTATTTTATTTTTAATTGAATTTATTGGGATAACCTTGGTTAATACAATTATATAGGTTTCAGGTGTACAGTGCTATAATATCGCTGCTGTATATTGTATTGTGCATTCACCACACCAAGCCCATTAAATTATTACTTGATTTGTATAAATAGGAAAGTTGTAGGTTAAGGGAACAAAAGTCTAACTTGAATCATAAATACAGAGAGTCGTGGCCCCTCAGTTAATTCCCATACTTGAGCAATTTATAGACCCAGCCCCTTTAAATGAATGAGAGGCCAAGTCCCCTTGCGGGAAGACTCCAGTCACTACCAAAATTTTTAATTGTTAATCTTTCTCCCAGCCTTCCTCAAAGGGACCAATAGCCCTTTACTAATCATGCATTGGTGAATGAAAATAACCAAACATTTTTGGGGATTATTGGACAATGGCTCTGAACTAACACTGATTCTAGGAGACCCAAATGTCACTTTGGTATATACAGGTTAGAATAAGGCTATGGAGGCCAGATGATCAATGAAGTTTTAGTTCAGGTCCATCTCACAGTGAGGCCAGTCCATTCCTGAACCCATCCTGAATTTGGTTATTTCCCCAGTTTTGGAATACATAACTGGAATAGATAACTCAGCAGCTGGCAGAATCCCCACATTGTTTCCCTAACCTGTGAAGTGTAAGGGCTGTTATGATGGGGAAGACCAAGTGAAAGCCCCTAGACTGTCTCTGCCTAGGAAAATAGTACACCACAAGCAATGTCACGTTTCTGGAGGGATTGTGAAGATTAGTGCTACCGTCAAGGACTTAAAAGATGTAGGGGTGGTGATTTCTACCACATCTCCATTTAACCTGCCTGTTCAGCCTGTGCAGAAGACAGACGGATCTTGGAGAACGACATTGGATTATTGTAAGCTTAACCAGGAGGCTATAGTTGCAGTTGCTATATCAGATGTTGCTTCATTGCTTGAGCAAATTAGTACATTGACTCGACAAATGCTTTTTTCTCTATACCTGTCAATAAAGACCACCAGAGGAAGTTTCCTCTCACTTGGCAAGACCAGCAATACAACTTCACTTTCCTACATCAGGAGTATACCAACACTCTCCAGAGGTGGGGAACCTTTTTTCTACCAAGGGCCATTTGGATATTATAAAATCATTCGTGTGCCATACAAAATTATCAACTTAAAAATTAGCTGCTGTATTTGGTCAGGCTAATTTGGTGAGACATGTGACGTTAGCTGGTATGGATTTTGTGAGCCTTATGAGGCCCCTGGGCTGGACATTCCCTACCCCTACTCTAGCCCTATATTATAATTTTTAGTTCACAGGAATCTTGACTGCCTTTCAATTCCACAAGATATCAGTAGTCAATTACAGTGATATTATGCTGATTGTACCTAGTGAGCAAAAAGTTGCAACAACTTGAAACTTCTTGGTAAGACATTTGTGTGTCAGAGATTGGGAAATAAATTTGACACAAATTAAGGGTTCTTCCACTTCAATGAAATTTCTAGGAGTCCAGTGGTTTGGGACATGTCAAGATATCCTTTCTAAGGTGAAGGATAAATTGTTGCATCTGACCCTTCCTGCAGCAGAAAAAGAGGCACAGTGCCTAGTGTGGCCTCTTTGGATTTGAGAGGTAACATATTTCTCCAAATATGTTGTATTACTCTGGCCTATTTATTGCATGACTTAGAAAGCTGCTAGTTTTGAGTAGGGTGCAGTACAAGAGAAAGCTCTGCAATAAGTTTAAGCTGCTGTGCAAGCTGCTCTACCACTTGGGCCGTATGATCAAGCAGATCTAATAGTGCATGAAGTGTCAGTTGTAGATACAGATGCTGTTTTTAGAGCCTTTGGCAGGCACCTGTAGGTAAATTGCAGCACAGAATTTTGAAGCAAAGCCCTGTCATCCTTTGAGGATAACTATTCTCTTGAGAAACAGCCCTTGCATGTTACTGGGCCATAGTAGAGACTGAACACTTAAGCATGGGCCACCAAGTTACCATGCAACCTGAGCCATCCATTATAAACTGAGTATTATCTGACCCTTTAAGTCATGATGCTGAATTTGTACAGCAGGACTCTATCATCAAGTAGAAGTTGTATATATGTGACTGGGTCCAAGCAGGCCCTGAAGACACTGCCCAGATGCATTTCTATTTTACTGTCTTCTCTTACTATCCTATACGTATTGCCTTGTGGGGATTTCTACAACAGTTGACAAAAAAAGAGAGAAGACTCAGCCTTCTGCATGATATGCAGGCCACCACCTGAAAGTGAACAACTATAACATTATAGCCCCTTTCTGGGACTTCCATGAAGCATAGTGGTGAAGGGAAATCCTCCCAGTGGGCAGACCTTTGATCAGTGCACCTGATTTTGCATTTTGTTTGGAAAGAACATGATTAGAAAATTGATGACAAGGAAATTGGTGACCAGATATATGGACATACCTCCCTGAAATGGGCAAAAAAACTGTGAAGCTATTTGTATCCCATGTGACTGCTCACCAAAGAGTGACCTCAGCAGAGGAGGATTTTAATATTTAAATGGATAGGATGACCTGTTCTGTGGACACTAGTCAGCCTCTTTTCCTAGCCACCCTATCAGCAGAGGCCAACACTGAGCTCCCAATATGGCACTATTTCCAAGGGTGATCAGCCAGCTACCTGGTGGCAGGTTGATTACACTGGACCACTTCAATCATGGAAGGGCAACATTTTGTTCTTACTAGGACAGGCACTGACTCTGGATATGTATTTGCCTTCTCTGCTTGCTTGCTTCTGCCAAAACTTCCACCAATGGATCTACAGAATGTCTTATTCACCCTGATGTTATTTCACACAGCATTGCCTTTTCTTTTCTTTTCTCTTTTTTCTTAACTGATTTTAGAGACAGGAAGGAAGAGAGAGAGAGAGAGAGAGAGAGAGAGAGAGAGAATATTGATTGTCTACCTCCCTCTTGTACTCCGACCAGAGATTGAAGCTGTGCCTTTTCATATTTATTTATTTATTTATTTAAAATTTTATTTTTGTTACAGATGTTTCTCCTTTTTTACCCCATTGATACCCCCCTCCCGATCCCCGGCGCCCTGTTCCCTGCTTTGTTGTCCATGTACATTGGTTATGCATACATGCATATAACTTCTGTGGTTTATCTCTTCCCTCCCCCCACCATGGACTCTTCTGAGGGTTGTCAGTCTGTACCCTACATACATGTTTCTGGGTCTGTCCTATTCCTCAGACTGTTATGTTCATTATATTCCACAAATAAGTGAGACCATGTGGTATTTGTCTTTTTCTGCTTGTCTTGTTTCACTTAGGATAATACTTTCCAGGTCCCTCCATGTCGTCTCAAAGGATAAGAGATCTTTCTTTCTTACAGCTGCATAGTACTCCATTGTGGATATGTACCACCACTTTTTTATCCATTCGTCTACTGATGGACACTTGGGCTGTTTCCAGATCTTAGCTATTGTAAATAGTGCTGCTATGAACATGGGGGTGCACATATTCTTTCTGATTGGTGTTTCAGGCTTCTTAGGGTATATTCCTAGTAGTGGGGTCACTGGGTCAAATGGAAGTTCAATTTAATTTTCTGAGGTAACACCATATTGTTTTCCATAGTGGCTGCACTAGTCTGCATTACCACCAACAGTACACTAGAGTCGCCTTTTCTTCACACCCTCACCAACACTTGTTTGATGATTTGTGATGGCGGCCATTCTGACAGGTGTGAGGTGATACCTTGTTGTTTTAATTTGCATCTCTCTGATGATTAGTGATGTTCAGCATTTCTTCATATGTCTTTTGGTCATTTGTATGTCCTGTTCAGAGAGGTGTCTATTCAGCTCCTCTGCCCATTTTTTAATTGGGTTCTTTGTCTTCCTTTTGTTGAGTTGTATGAGTACTCTATATATTTTGGAAATTGACCCCTTATCTGATGTATCATTGGCAATGATGTTCTCCCATACACTGCGTTTCCTTTCCGTTTTGATGGTTGTTTCTTTTGCTATGCAGAAGCTTTTTAGTTTGACGTAGTCCCATGTGTTCATTTTTTTCTTTATTTCTGTTGCCTTAGGTGATGTATTAGTGAAAATTCTGCTGAGTATGATGTATGAAATTTTGTCGCCTACATTTTTTTCTAGAATTTTTATGGAATCACAGGTCATATTTAAGTCTTTTATCCATTCTGAGTTTATTTTTGTGTATGGTGTAGGTTGATGGTCTAGTTTCATTTTTTTTGCATGTACCTGTCCAATTTTCCTAACACCATTTATTAAAGAGGCTGTCTTTACTCCACTGTATGCTCTTGCCCCCTTTGTCAAATATTAATTGAGCATATTGCCTTGGGTCCATTTCTGGGTTCTCTGTTCTGTTCCACTTGTCTATATGCCTGTTCTTGTGCTATACCAGGCTGTTTGATTACAGTTGCTTTGTAGTATAACCCGATATTCGGTATTGTGATCCCACCTACTTTGTCCTTCTTTTTCAAGACTGCTGTGTCTATTCGGGGTCTTTTTTGATTCCATATGAACTTTTGAAATATATGTTCTAGTTCTGTGAAATATGTCGTTGGTATTTTGATGGGGATTGCATTGAATCTATAGATTGCTTTGGGTAGTATGGACATTTTAATCATGTTAATTCTTCCAATCCATGAACAAGGTATGTGCTTCTACCTTTGTATATCTTCCTCTATTTCTTTTTTCAATGCCCTGTACTTTTCTGCAAATAGGAATTTTACTTTGGTTAAGTTTATTCCTAGGTATCTTAATTTTTTTGCCGCGGTAGTAAATGGGATCGTTTTTTCAGTTTCTCTTTCTTGAGTTCATTGGTGTATAAGAATGCCATCGATTTCTTGACGTTAATTTTGTATCCAGCTACTTTGCCAGATTCATTTATTAAGTTTAGAAGATTTTTGATGGAGTCTTTGGGGTTTTCTGCGTATAGTATGATGTCATCTGTGAATAATGACAGTTTCACTTCCTCCTTTCCCATTTCAATCCCATTTATTTTTTCTTCATGTCTGATTGCTGTGGCTAATACTTCCAGTACTATGTTAAATAAGAGTGGCGAAAGTGGACATCACTGTCTTATTCCTGTTCTTAAGGGAAATGTTTTTAGTTTCTGCCCATTGAGTATGATGTTAGCTGTAGGTCTTTCATATATGGCCTTTATATTGTTGAGATATGATCCCTCTATTCCCACATTGCTGAGCGTTTTTATCAGAAATGGATGCTGGATTTTGTCGAAGCTTTTTCAGTGTCTATTGATATGATCATGTGGTTTTTATCCTTCATTTTGTTTATGTGGTGTATCACATTTATTGATTTATGAAAGTTGTACCAGCCTTGCATCCCTGGGATGAATCACACTTAGTCATGGTGAATAATATTTTTGATGTATTGCTGGATCCGATTTGCTAGTATTTTGATCAGGATTTTGGCATCTATATTCATCAGTGTAGTTTGCTTTCTTTGTACTGTCTTTTTCTGGTTTTGGAATTTGAATTATACTGGCCTCATAAAACGTGGTTGGAAGTCTTCTTTCTTCATGAATTTTTTGAAATAGCTTGAGGAGAATGGTGTTAGTTCTTTTTTGAACGATCGGTTAAACTCCCTGTGAAACCATCTGGGCCTGGGCTTTTGTTTGCTGGGAGAGTCTTGATTACCTCTTCAATTTTCTCAGTTGTTATTGGTCTGTTCAAGTTTTCTATCACTTTCCAGTCCAGTTTTGGGAGACTGTATGTTTTTAGAAATTGGTACATTTTGCTTAGATTGTCGAATTTGTTGCCATATAATAGTTTATAGTAGCTCTTAACGATCTTTTGTATTTCTGTGGTATCAATTGTTACTTCTCCTCTTTCATTTCTGATTTTATGGATTTGAGTTCTCTCTCTTTGTTTCTTGGTGAGTCTAGCTAACGGTCCATCAATCTTGTTTATCTTTTCGAAAAACCAGCTCTTTGTTTCATTGATTCCTTTGAATTGTTTTTTTTTTTTTTTTGGTCTCTATGTCATTTATTTCTGCTCTGATCCTTACTATTTCCTTCCTTCTACTTGCTCTGGGGTTTTCTTTTTGTTTGCTCTCTAGTTCTTTAAGTTGTGAGGTTAGATAGTCTATTAGAACTTTTTCTTGTTTTTTGAGGTAGGCCTGTAGTGCTATGAACTTCCCTCTCAGAACTGCATTCGCTGCATCCCATAGATTTTGTGTTGTTGTGTCTTCATTTTCATTGGTTTCCATGAAGTTTTTAATTTCTTCCTTGATCTCCTCGGTGACCCATTTATTGTTTAATAACATGCTGTTTAGCCTCCATATGTTTAAATGTCTTTGCATGTTCTTGTTACAATTGATTTCTAGTTTTATGCCATTGTGATCAGAGAAGATGCTTGATATGATTTCAATCTTCTTGAACTTGTAGGGATTTAGTTTGTGTGCTGTCATGTGGTCTATCTTTGAAATTGTCCCATGTGCACTTGAGAAGAATGTGAATTCTGTAGTTTTGGGATGTAATTCTGTGCAGATATCTATTAAATCCATTTGGTTTAGTGCTTCATTTAGAGTCTCTGTTTTCTTGCTAATTTTTTGTCTGGAAGATCCATGCAGTGGTGTCAGTGGAATGTTGAAGTCCCCTGCTATGATTGCATTGTTGTTAATTTCTCCTTTTAAGTCCTCCAGAAGACTTTTAATATATTTTGGTGCTCCTATATTGGGTGCATATATATTTATCAAGGTTATATCTTCATGTTTGATAGATTCTTTCAATATTATGTAGTGGCCTTCTTTGTCTCTAGTTATGGTCTTCATTTTGAAATCTGTTTTATCAGATATGAATATTGCTAACCGTTTGCTTGGAAAATTTTTTTTTTGCTTTCCGTTTGCTTGGAAAATTTTTTTTAATTCTTCACTTTCAACCTATGTGAGTCTTTTGTTGTGGGGTGGGTCTCTTGTAAACAACATATAGATGAGTCATACTTTCTTATCCAATCAGCTACTCTGTCTTCTTATCTGAGCATTCAGTCCATTTACATTTAAGGTGATTGTTGATATGTACTTACTTATTGCCATTTTTGTTTATTTGACCTTTTATTTTGAATGACACCTTTACTTGGTAGAGTAGTTTTGGATTCAGATCCTTGTTTTTCATGTCCTTTATTACTTCATACAATTCCCTTTCGGCCTGTAGTGTTTCTTGTGAGAAGTCAGCTGATAGCCTTTTGATGTTTCCTTTGTAGGTAACCTGTTGCTTATCTCTTGCTGCTTTTAGGATTCTCTCTTTATCTTTAATTTTTGGCATTTTAATTACTATGTGTCTCGGTGTGGCCCTGTTTGGGTTTTTGTTACTTGGGGCTCTCTGTGCTTCTTGAACTTGAATGCCTTCTTCCTTCACCAAATTAGGGAAGTTTTTTGTCACTATTTCTTTGAACATATTCTCTAACCGTTGTTCATTTTCTTCTTCTTCGGGTACTCCTATGATGCGAATATTATTACGTTTCCAGTTGTCCCACAGTTCTCTTAAGCTGTCTTCCTGTTTTTTAATTGTTTTTTCTTTTGGTTTTCTGATTGGTTGATATTTTCTACCCTGTCTTCTAATTCTCTGATTCTGTCCCTGGCATCCTGTACTCTGCTGTTTATTCCTTCCAGTGTGTTCTTTATTTCTGATATGTCATTCTTAATCTTTTCTTGGTGGTTTTTAATTTTCGATTGGTTGATTTTCAACATATCTATGTCCTTACTCATGCTTTTGACTTCCTCAAGGTCATGGCTCTGAATTCTAGCTCTGTTAACTTGCCTAACTGCTCCAAATTGATCTCATCTTCCATGGCCGTCTCTTGTTCTTTCATTTGGCTTTTGTTTCTTTGTTTCATTATTTTTGCTATGACAGTGGGCTTTGGAGCCTGCACAGTTTTCTCTGTGGTTGGTGGTGTTCTGTTGTTTGTGGCTCCCTCTCCTGGGTTTAGATGAGCAAGTGAGGACCCACGTTAACACCACTGTCAAGTCTTACTTTCCTGGTTAGAGTTGCTAGCCCAGGAATGGTACTGTTATTCTTTAGCTTTTTCCCTGGAGGCTAGCAGTCGAGGTTACTTGAAGAGGTTTGGGTTGTCAGTTGATTGAAAAACTCCCTCAGGTGCTCAGAGTAAGGGGATTTCCCAAGGGTATGTCTGATGCTGGTTGTTAATGGGCTTCAATTTGCATTTCAGTGGCCACCAGGTGGGGTTGAATCTCCGAAGGAGTGGCTTCCGCCTCTCCCCATTGCCCTGGGAAGGAGCAAGATGTCCCTTGTCCTGCCTGGCTACAACTCAGCAAAAGCTCTGAGCGCCCTCCAAATCTGTTACAGTCCAGTCTGCCTTCCCTCAGCCAGAGCCCAAGATGAGTGGCTGTGGCTATTTTAGCATCTGTCCTGGTTCTGTTATGTGGAGCCATTTGGTAGTTAATCCCGAGGATGCTGCTCACAGCTGCTGTGTTTGGGCCCTCGGCCTCCCTCTCACACCTCCGCAATCCTACCAGGATTGAGTCAATGTTCCTGGTTATATGGTCCTCACAAGCTGCTTTTCTGTTGCTTTTTCCTGTTGATTTGTCTTTGTTTTAGTTGTAATTCCAGTTTTGTCCTGGGAGACAATCTGTGTAGCTTCCATTCACTCTGCCGCCATTTTAGAATCCTCTTTTCATTTTGCTGTGCAGAAGCTTTTTGTTTAATGTAGTCCCATTTGTTTTTGTTTGTTTGGTTGGTTTTTTTTTTTTTCTTCTTTGTTTCTCTTGCCCTAGCAGATGTGTTGGTGAAAATTCTGGTACTTGAGATGTTTGAGATTTTGCCTCCTATGTTTTCTTCTAGGATTTTTATAGTTTCACAACTTACATTTAAGTTTTTTTTTATCCATTTTGAGTTTATTCTTGTGTATGGTGTAAGTTGGTGGTTTAGTTTCATCTTTTTGCATGTGCCAGTCTGATTTTCCCAACACTATTGTTGAAGAGAGTATCTTTACTCCACTGGATGTTCTTGCTTCCTTTGCCAAATATTTATTGACCGTAATGGTGTGGGTTGATTCTTGGATTCTCTGTTCTGTTCCATTGATCTTTCTACCTGTTCTTGTGCCATTATCAGGCTGTTTTGATTACAGTGACTTTGTAGTATAGTTTGATATTTGATATTGTGATCCCTTCAACTTTGTTCTTCTTTCTCAGGATTTCTGTGGGTATTTGGGATCTTTTTTGGTTCATATGAATTTTTGAAGTATTTGTTCTAGATCAGTGAAGTATGTTGTTGGTATTTTAATAGGGAAGGAGTTTTTAAATGAGAATAACTCCCTGGTATGTGTTGGCCTTATCCAATCAGTTGAAGGCCTTACAGTTCTATAAAAATGTTTAGTTATCTCCATTAACCACTTTTTTAAATGTTTCTAGGTTATTGAATCTTTGGGAATTATTATTTATAAAGCACTGGACTATGGTTTGAAGGAGAATGAAGAACGAGAATTAAGTCCTCCCCTGGAGCAACTCATCGATCACATGGCTAACACCATAGAAGCAGATGGTAGCAATGATGAGGGTTATGAGGCTGCAGATGAAGGCCTAGAAGATGAAGAAGATGAAAAAAGAAAAATTTCAGCTATCCGGTCATATAAAGATGTCATGAAGGTAAAGCAGCTGTTTACACAGTTTAACAGTTTCTTTCAAGAGTTATTTCATATTTATTTATTTACTTATTTATTTATTATTTTATTTATTTAATTTTGTTACAGATATTACCCTTTCTCCCCAGTTGACACCCTCTTTCTATAGTTATTTCACTTTTAAAAATTGATTGGTGATTTAGCGTTTGATAATAGTTCTTAGACTTTCAGCTAAAAGTGAAATGAATAAGGAACTAAAATATTCCAGATTCTGTGATTTGTTAGGACTTCAACATGGCCTTTTATTTTTTAATTTTTTTTATCTTCACCCGAGGACATTTTTTCATTTTTTATTCAGATAGAGCAGGAAGGAGAGAGATGAAGAGAGACAGAAAAACATTGACATGAAAGGGACACATCGAGTAGCAGCCACCTGCATGACCCAACCAGGTCTAGGGACAAACTGCAACCGAAGTATATGCCCTTAGTGGGAATCAAACCCGGGTCTCTCTGGATGCAGGCCAACACTCTAACTGCTGAGCCAAACCGGCCAGGGCTCAACATGGCCTTTTAAAAGCCACTTGTAGGTATTCATATATCCCTTATTATATGCCTTCTATTGATTTATGCATTTTTCTTTTTTAAAATGGAGTAAACTACTGTGATTCATGTATTTATATGAAGATTCTGAATCTGCACTATCACAACCAATTATTTTACTTTGGTTTCTTGACCCATCCTGTGCTATTTATGTGTAACAAAACAAGTTTGTTTGTTTTTTGAAAATTTTTTTCTTTATTGACTTTAGAGAGACAGAGAAACATTGATGAGAGAGAACATCATTTGGCTGCCTCCTACATACTCCCTACTGGGGATTTGGCTTGCAATCTGGGCATGTGCCCTGACCAGGAATCTAACCAATGACGTCTTGGTGCATGGGTCAACGCTCAATCACTGGAGTCACACTGGCCGAGCACAATACAAGTTCTATAGCTTAAATTGAATTTTTCTCTTCACTAAATTTTTCTGGGTACTTGAAAGCCATAATTTTTACAGTGCTAAATGCACAGAAATTAAAATTAAGGCAGATTCTTTTCAAATTAGTCTTAAGTATTGGCTATATATCAGTTATTTTCCAAATTTTAATGAAGAATTTCAGAAAGAGGAATGAAAAGGAACCATGTAGACAGTACTTCTCAGGTATACTTCAACACACCCTAATTCTTGCTCCTTCTTAGATAATACATCTCTTAGGAACTCTGGAACGGAATTGGGCAGTTATGATTCTTACAAAGTTCAGATATATTCATTAGTTATTTCAATATAATCAAAATCAACAGTATATATAAGTAAAATCTCACATATATACCAGTTGATATGTCACACTTTATTCATTTTATATTGTTTAGATGTTACAGAATATTTATTTATTTGTTTGTTTATTTACTTATTTGAAGGCCAAATAAAACAACAGACCACAAATGACCTACTTGTGCCAAGTAGAACAGTAAAAAGTTAAGAATAAAATGTTTTTCATTAAGGCAGAAAACTACTTATGCCTCTAAAATTAAGCTAACAGGGAGATTTGAAAAAGGCGGTGGAGTGAATGGAAGCTGCACAGACAATCTCCCAGGACTAAACTGAAATTACAACTAGAATGAAGACAAGTCGCAGGGAAAAAGCAGCAGAAAGGCAACTGGAAAGGACCAAATAGCTAGGGACACTGAATCGAGCCTGGTGGGTCTGTGGAGGCACGAGAGAGCGGCAGGCTGACATCACTGGATAGATCATCTAGACAAAAATTAACAAGGAAACACAGATTCTAAACAAAGCAATAGATCAAATGGATTTAATCGATATCTACAGAGAATTACACCCCAAAACTTCAGAATTCACATTCTTCTCAAGTGCACGTGGGGTATTCTCAAAGACAGACCACATGTTAGGACACAAACTAAGTCTCTACAAGTTTAAGAAGATTGGAATCATATCAAGGATCTTCTCAGATCACAGTGGCATGAAACTAGAAATCAATTGCAACCAGAATATGTAAAGACATTTGCTTTTTTTTGTTTTTGTTTTCTTTTTCATCCTCACCTGAAGACGTTTTTTTATTTTTTGTTCAGATAGACTGGGAAGGGGGAGAGAGAAAGAGAGAGAGAGAGAGAGAGAGAGAGAGAGAGAGAGAGAGAGAAAGAGAGAAAGAAAGGGACACATCGAGTGGCTGCCTCCTACATGACCCAACCAGGGCTGGCGACAAACCACAACCGCGGTACATGCCCTTAGCGGGAACCAAACCTGAGTCTTTCTGGACCGCAGGCCAACACTCTAACTGTTGAGCCAAAAGGGCCAGGGCTGCAAAGACATTTGAAAACATGGTGGCTAAATGGCATGTTATTGAACAATGAATGGGTTATCATGGACAACAAGGAAGAAATTAAAAACTTTCTGGAAACCAATGAAAATGAACATACAACAACACAAAATCTATGGGATGCAGTGAAAGCAGTTCTGAAAGGGAAGTTCATAGCACTACAGGCCCACCTTAAGAAACAAGAAAAATTTCTAATTGACTGTCTAACCTCACAACTCAAAGAACTAGAAAGCAAACAAAAAGAAAACCACAGAGCAAGTAGAAGAAAGGAAATAGTAAAGATCAGAGTAGAAATAAATGACATGGAGACCAGAAAGAAAACAATTCAAAGGATCAATGAAACAAAGAGCTGGTTCTTTGAATAGATAAACAAGATTGATGAGCCCTCAGCTAGACTCACCAAGAAACAAAGAAAGAGAACCCAAATACACAAAATCAGAAATTAAAGAAGAGAAATAACAACTGATACCACAGAAATACAAAGGATCATTAACAAATACCATGAACAATTATACGGCAACAAATTAGACAATCAAAGCAAAATGGACAAATTTCTAGAAACACATAGTCTCCTAAAACTGGACCAGGAAGAGATAGAAAACTTGAACAGACCAATAACAACTAAGAAAATTGAAGATTTTATCAAGATTCTCTCAGCAAACAAAAGTCCAGGCCCAGATGGCTTCATGGGGGAGTTTTACCGATCATTCAAAAAAGAACTGCCACCCATTCTCCTCAAACTATTTCAAAAAATCCAAGAAGATGGAAGACTTCCAAACTTGTTTTACGAGCCCAACATAATTCAAATTCCAAAACCAGAAAAGGACAGTACCAAGAAAGCAAACTACAGGCCAATATCCTTGATGAACATAGATGACAAAATTCTGAACAAAATACTAGCAAATCAGATTGAGCAATACATCAAAAAATTATTCATCGTGACCAACTGGGATTCATCTCAGGCATGCAAGGCTGGTAAAATATTCATAAATCAATAAATGTGATACACCACATAAATAAAATGAAAGATAAAAACCATATTTTCATATCAGTAGACGCTGAAAAAGCATTCGACAAAATCCATCCCCCATTTTTTATTAAAAACACCCAGCAGTGTGGGAATAGACGGATCATATCTTGACATAATAAAGGCCTTATACGAAAGACCTATAGCCAACATCATACTCAATGGACAAAAACTAAAAGCATTTCCCTTAAGACAGGAACAAGACAGGGATGCCCACCTTTGCCACTCTTATTTAACATAGTACTGGAAGTCTTAGCCACAGCAATCAGACATGAAGAAAAAAATAAAAGGAATCCAAATTGGAAAGGAGGAAGTGAAACTGTCATTATTCGCAGATGACATGATATTATACCCAGGAAACCTTAAAGACTCCATCAAAAATCTACTACACCTAATGAATTTGGCAATATAGCAGGACACAAATTTAACATCAAGGAATTGACAATATTCTTATACCCCAATCATGAACTCACAGAAAGAGAAACTGAAACAATACCATTTACCATCGTGGTAAAAAAATTAAGATACCTAGGAATAAACTTAACCAAAGAAGTAAAATACCTATTTGCAGAAAAGTACAGGGCATTGAAAAAAGATATAGAGGAAGATATAAAAAGTTAGAAGCACATACATTGTTGATGGATTGCAAAAATTAACATCATTAAAATGTCCATACTACCCAAAGCAATCTATAGATTCAATGCAATCCCCATCAAAATACCAAAAGACATATTTCACAGAACTAGAACAAATACTTCAAAAGTTCATATGGAACCAAAAAAGACCATGAATAGCCACAGCAATCTTGAAAAAGAAGGACAAAGTAGGTGAGATCCAATACCGGATGTCAGGTCATACTACAAAGCTACAGTAATCAAAACAGCCTGGTACTGGCACAAGAACTGGCACATAGATTAGTGGAATAAAACACAGAACCCAGAAAGTGACCCAAAACATTATGCTCAATTAATATTTGACAAAGGTGGCAAGAGCATACAATGGAGTAAAGACAGCCTGTTTAATAAATGGTATTGGGAAAATTGGACAGCTACATGCAAAAAATGAAACTAGACCATCAACTTACACCATACACAAGAATAAACAAAAGGAAGACAAAGAATCCGATTAAAAAATGGGCAGAGGAACTAAATAGAAACCTCTCCAAATAGGACATACAAATGGCAAAGAGACGTGAAGAAATGCTCAACATTACTAATCATCAGTGAGATGCAAATTAAAACAACAATGAGGTATCACCTCACACCTGTCAGAATGGCCACCATCAACAAATCATCAAACAAGAAGTGCTGGCGAGGTTGTAGAGCAAAGGGGACTCCAGTGCATTGCTGGTGGGAATGCAGACTGGTGGAAAACACTATGGTGTTATCTCAAAAAGTTAAAAATTGAACTTCCATTTCACCTAGTGTTCCCACTTCTAAACAATATACCCTAAGAAGCCTGAAACATCAATCAGAAAGATTATATGTACCCCATGATTATAGCAGCACTATTTACAATAGCTAAGATCTGGAAACAACCCAAGTGTCCATCAGTAGACGAATGGATAAAAATACTGTGATGCCTATACACAATGGAGTACTATGCAGCTGTAAGAAAGAAAGAT